TGTGAAGCCCGAAGTCAGCTAAAGGACTAATGATAACTATTAAAATGCCTGCTATTCGAAATAAATAAAACAAATAATTTATCTACTACCACTACTACTACTACTACTACTGAACAAGCCCAAACGCATAACTCGACTGCAGTAAATACAGCAAGTTTTATACAGGATCGTTTTCTCTGAGGTTTCACATAAAAATAGGGAAAGTAGGGACTCAGAAAATATCTTCTGCAAATTGAAGAGCAACCTCCGGGGCGACATAGTCGGCCAGCGCAAGAGTATTGGCCAAAAGCATTGTCTCACGAGCTGAACGTGCTGTCAGCCAAATTCTTCCGTTACAACCCACGCAAATCTCAAATGCAAAGCGCTAAAAATTGGGAACACAAAAAAAACATATCAATATGAACAAATTTTTAAATCGCAATGCTACGCGAATCCCGGACATCATTAACAATATAAGCCAGAAAAAAACTCTGACAAAATTTGAAAGATTAAAACAATGCGGAAAGAGGAGACGTGAAGGCTCAATGAACTAACCTTGCTGAGTTTCTCGATTAGTGGAAAGTTGGCAGTGTCACTAAGTCGTCGACAAAGTTGTAAAGAGCAGCCAATCATCACGCCCTGATTCATTCCCCCCGCGTTGCCAACTGAACCTGGCTCATGTCGACCAAGAATTCCCATGCCAGAGGCCTTGCCCGCCTCGTTCATGCACGTTAGCTCAATCTCCATATCTAGGTAAGGAGAATAGAGGAAAAGGCAACATTTAGACAGCATAAGGCGATTCATTAGCTCAATGGTTAGATAATTGAAATAATTGAAATTCAGGTAATTAGTTTTATTTATGACTCGACTTTACGCTGTGAAAAAACTATCTGTACCAATGGTACGAATTGAGATCACATAAACCCCCGTTTGAATGACCGACCTCATTAGTGAAGTCTTGCCAATTGAGAAGTAACAGGAAGTGTGCATTCCATCAAAGACTCCAGGATTAGATATAAGCATCGGGTGTCAACGAAGGGATACTGCTTGCCTTTAACTTCAAGGTCCCATCTGAACTGTATTACAACTCTAGTCCTAAGTAAAATCATACAAGGGGACTAAATAAGTGAGGGTAAAAATGCCCCCTTATAGAACTATTCATCTTCCTCCCTTAATTGGTACCATCAGCCTTAAATGAGTAAGATTGAGAGTTGGGTTGGACAAATGCATATTGGACAGTTGGGAGGATTAAAAGAGACGAAGGAGTGGGAAAAGGAATCGAGAGGCGTCAGCAATGAGAAAGGACAATCAGGAGTAATCAGTTAGTCTTCAACGCCCTACCTGCTTTATGCTGTGTAAATTTACTATGTGATTGTAGAATGAATAACTAGTGAGAAATCACACATTAGAACAAAACAGAGACAGAGCAAACCCATAAATCGGCTTCCGCAAGTGCCGTATAACCACCAAAGCCAAAAATATGCATTAGTTCTAATCTACGTAAATATAGTAGAGACTCATACATACATAGTATGAATCCCCATGGAAAGAAAATGACTTGTGATTAGATCAGGAGAAATACTGAAGACTGTGACCAACAGAGTGGGGTGGTGGATTCCACACAAGTTGCTTAATTGGCAATATTCCCATCTGTCTTATATCTGAAAGACTTTGTGTCCTCTCATGGTAAGATGTTCCTTAATACCTCCTGCAATACCAAGCAAAATGGAACGAAAGACTAACCTACCTTTCTGAGGGACATTTAAATAATTTGAGATAGATCACGTGAAGTCAATTATCGCTTTCATAACTTCCGACTTACCAGGATCAGCTTGAGCAATCGCCGCAAAAATGACATCCTTAAGCCTAATATCCGGTCGATTTTTTTTCGATGCTCCTTCAAAACCTGTGAGACAGTTGAGAGCCGCAGGAGAAGCACATCCAATGTCCAAATAAAAGGTATCTCCATTCTTCTTTTTGACCACACCCAAAACCCTGTCGCCAACACAAAACTGGGAGGTATGGAAGGACTGAAGAGTGTTGCTCAGAAGAGCTGGGGCTACCTTGGTGAGACCGCTGCCTGAGGAGAGAGGGAGGGCGTCGATCCAGGCACGATGAGTCGGGGGTGAAGAATGGGTGGATTTTAAGCTAGATTCTTTTTCTTCCTGCTTGATGTCCTTTGGGGAAGTGTGGCGAAGAATGCCAAACTGAATGAAATGAAAGAGTAAATAGTTAAATAAACCTAGAAAGAAAATGCCGAAGACTCAGGCAATCAAGATACGCAGCCAATAACTATTGGGAAAAACTATTGTAAGAATTGATAATAATTTAACGACTACATCGACATATATGGCTCTTCATATACCTTAAATGTGACCCCACTTTACATAATATAAATTAAATTTATTGGAATAATCCATCGATAAGACAAAGGTAGTAATAATTAAAATGAATGATAAGACCCCGCGGCTCAATCCTCTAACCTGAAGCAATGAAAGGTGGAGACATGGCGGAGAATAAGACGAGAAGACAGAGAGGGAACAAGGGGAAAGAAAAAGAATCGAACGTCTGAGGGCAACATACATACCCCGGAGACAGAGACACAAGACAAAGTAACTCGACTTCAACAAATAGACAGTAATGGAAAAACAATTCACGAAAGCAGTGAACGCGAGCGCTAATACGGCGCATTTGCGTGGACCAATAGCATATGCGGATTTTGTAAGTAGACCGGGATTGGTTAGCGTATTTTTAAGCTAAGCAGGGTAGAGAAATATAAGCTTCACAAAAGAAGTCGATGGCACGAAAAGTGCAGATTTCTCTGGAGAATTTCAAGGAGATTTCCAGTTGCAACGTCTGTTTCAGTACAGTGAAAGATCCCTGGACCCTACCTTGCGGGCATTTCTTCTGCTATGACCCATGTCTCACCGGGCTGATCAAACACCAACTGAACAAGTGCCCAACATGCCGCAAGACATTCCACCACACGCAGGTGAACCCATTCTATTTTTTCCGAGACTTCATACAAAAAGCCAAATTGGATGGAGAGGTAGGGGACGATCGGGAAGGTGATATGACTGTGAAGGAAATTATGGGAGAATCATGGACAACAAGGAAAGCACCCTCACCACCTCCGCTAGATTATGAAATCGATAGACCACCACTTTCTGAAGAGAGTTATGAAGCCGAAAGACTCGCTTTTCTCATGTCAAATGATCCAACTTTTATTCCTGTAAGTCAGAGACCACCTGAGAATAGACGGTGTCCGAGATGGCCTGTTTGTGATGGACGAAACTGTCCACACATTCATCCTAATAGGCTTTGCATGGACTTATTATGTCCAGGAGGTGAAGTATGTGATCTGGTTCATGCAGATACTTTCATAAATCTTTTACAAGGCGGAGATAGCAGAAATTAAATGATTATATACTACTCTCCCGCTAACTCTATTAAATGTAATACTTTTTATTTGAATATAAAATAATACTTGAGATACTTTACTTTTTGTATAACCATATAGATGGTTTTTTCTGAAGCAGTATCCTTTGAGGGAATTTGTACGATTCCGGATCCCAAGTTCCATCGAACTGAGTTGGAGCTGGTTTGAACAAAAAGAATCATTCCAGGAACGACAATGCGTCCAACACATTGGTAGAGATCCTTTGCGACACCTTGAGCACATTTAACTCCTAGACCTTGGGAGAAGATACCACCGACCGGATCATCAGTTTCCATTAGACTAGACTAAAAAATATATAAGCGTGGTAATATATCAAGAAAGATAATATTTGGGATAGTCGAATGAAAAGTGATAACGATGTAAGGAATGCAAATAGGATGATATGGGAGTTTGAGAAGCTCTTTATATTACTAGGAACGAAAGTACTAAGACGGTATTCTGATTATAAATGCCATTACGAATTGTTAGGTAAACCATAGACGAACTGCTATATCAATAAATTGTCAAAAAAATTAAAACGTATCTATAGTTGTTATAAATATTTCGCATGCGTACCATTGCACATTCAGGTTAAAATGGTGAGAGCACAAGGACGAAGCTGCATTCTAACTAGCAATTTAACGAAATATGTCAATAGTTGATTCATAAATATTCATGTTTTAAAATTTTAAGTGAGAATTCGGAATTATTCCAAATATTTGTTTGTATATTTGTAATTATTTTTGTTTATATTAATAATTTATCAAGCACCGTTTTAATGTACCCGCGTTTCTGCTATTCACGTGATTCGCTTTGCGTCTCATTCTGAAATTTTTATATAATCACTTTTTTGGGTATGAAATAATTTTCATCTGCATGTACATAATTTTTCAGTATTCGGGCTTTTTCACGCAGTTATTTAGCTAATTACGCTCTATTAATATAATTTTAGATGGCGAATATATTTGGTATTGAATTAGACGAACTTGATGAAGTCATCAGTCAACCTGAAAGGCCTAAGACTTTTGGTTTGTTGTAAGTTTTTTCTTTATTTAATTACATCTCTCTTAGACCTTCTACTTCGGTCTTAAAGCGCCCAGCAGTTCCTATTCCTTCGTCGTTTTCTTTACCAACAACTCGGAAATCGAAATTCAAAGCACCAAGATTAAAATCAGTCACCTTACCTACTGAAGCCGGTTGTCTTCATGAGGTTGTTTTACCGGTTGGTGTTGATCGTTTCAAGTCACTTACACCAATCTCTCAAATCCCCGCCAAAACTTATCCCTTCAAACTAGATCCCTTTCAACGTGAAGCCGTCCTTTGCATTGAAAACGATCAGTCTGTTCTAGTTTCAGCTCACACATCTGCAGGGAAGACTGTTGTTGCTGAATATGCAATTGCCCGTTGCCTGGCAAATAAGCAACGAGTCATTTATACCACGCCAATTAAATCTCTAAGCAATCAAAAATTTCGTGAATTCACTGCAGAGTTTAAAGATGTTGGTCTTATGACGGGTGATATTACAATCAATCCCGAAGCTACTCTACTTATAATGACAACTGAAATTCTCAGATTGATGCTCTATCGGTAGGTAACATTCCTTATACCGCTGTAGTGACATTTATCGTTTTTTTTCGGTAGAATCTTATTCTTTCACTTTTCAGTGGAAACGAAATCACGCGAGAGTTGGGTTGGGTTATTTTTGATGAAATTCATTACATGAAGGAGAAAGAACGTGGTGTTGTCTGGGAGGAATCGATTATCCTTCTATCGGATCGTGTACGCCAGGTCTTTCTCAGTGCGACAATCCCCAACGCCAGACAATTTGCTGAATGGGTTGCTTTTCTCCATAAGTTGCCTTGTCATGTCATCTATACGGATTATCGTCCTACTCCCCTTCAGCATTATGTATATCCCTGTGGTGGTGATGGTATCTTCTTGGCCGTGGGTAAAGATGTAAGTTATTCAAGTCGAGCCTGGTTTGCATCATATGAAAGATGGAAATTTTTTTATTATTTAATTCACTTGCACTTGAGAGGTGAAAAACTCTATAACCGAATTTCATAAGCAGGGCATTTTTCGTCGGTGTATTGAGAATGCCCAAAGGAACATATTAATGTTATTTTTTCTCATTAAAAAACAACTCATGTCACTATAGTTGAATGTAATTGTCTCACCAGCTCCTCTTTTCGAGTTTACAAAGAAAGATGCATTTATCAATACTCTTCTTATTTATTTATTTATTTTGAAGTATCTAATTTTGTGGTGGCCATTAGAGGCTGTCTATGCGCTTATTTTTATCCTGTATCGGTACATTTTTTGTTCGACTAATATTTATTTATTTACATCAAATGGCGGGCGTTTTGATAGTTATCATTAGCCCTGGAACTGACTTCTGGGCTTTACAGAGAGGAGAAGGAACATCAAAGTGACAAAAAGTTGAGAGGGGGAACAGAAGAGTGATTCACAGATGTAAAAGAGACAGACAGACACAAAGGTAGAGAAAAAGGTAAGATGAGTACTGTGAAAGAGGTCGAATATGAAAAATAGTTGGGTCATAGTAGTTTGAAGTCAGAAGTCAACTGCTGATCATTAGACTGTTTTGCCGTATAAGTATACGTTGCCCAGGATGTACCACGTGGAGGTAAGTCTATCGCACACCCCAGTGTTCGACTAATATAGTCTTGCCCATTTACTTGCTAATTATTTCCCTTCTTGTGTGAATGGCCAACCTTTAGATGAAAAGCTTTTTTTTTACCACTGTAGAATCGTACAGACGGTACTTAATACCTAATGCGGAAATGCCCTCATTTTAGCGTGAGTTCAATGAAAAGAACTTCGATGAGGCCGTAGGTGTAGTCAGAAAGGCCGCGGATAACGCCAAGTCAGATGCTTCAATGCGTGGTCATCGCGGTGGGTCCCAAAGAGCAGTCACCTATTGCTCAAAATTAATCAAACTTGTGATGGACAACAACCTCCAACCCCTTATTGTCTTTTCGTTCAGCAAAAATGACTGCCAATTCTACGCCAATGAAATCTCCAAGATGGAATTCACAGATGGTAAGTGTGTGATATAAAGCGTCAGGCTGGTGTAATTGAGTTTATCAGACTCATGGTCTGGACACCACTTTTCCAATCAAATGTCATAACACTACGAAATTCATTCTCTTTTGAAGTGTCAGATTCGAACTCTAACGATTACCAAGTAACTATAATTTTCAAAAATTCAAATTTGAATTTAAGTCCAATTACCGATAGGTTCTCCTTTTCCTTAAAAGCTTCCTTCCTTAGGATTTTAGGGATATATATTTATTATTTATTTAATCAGATTTTATAATTCGACAAAGTTAACGATGTTCCCATTTTGGTAAATTTCTAAAAGAAAATATGTTCGTATTCCCATAGCCACAGCCTTTACGTCTGAGGGCGCAAGTTCATTTTCTGGTCTCTGTTGAGATTCAGCGTTGCCAGTGTTAGAAAAGGGTTCAAATAGGCAAATCTCAAGAATGAACCTCAAGGTATTGTTAACAAACATTCTCCTGATTAATTTTAGAGATATAAGTGTCATACCAAATAGTATAAACTCCCTTTGAGATATTGCGGCTTCTCTCTGCCATCAGGCTTGTGTGTCTTTTCCTACCCACTTAATCGTAATACGAGTTGACCCTCAGGGATCTTGGTCTTATGTACACAGTCCTCACTATGTTGCGTTACTAAGAACTTTCCTGCTATGCCTTAATTAGATAAAGAAAAGGCTGCAATCAAGCTAATTACCTCCAATGCCCTGGAATCCCTCTCAGCGGAGGACAAGAAAATTCCCCAAATCACAGAAATGATGCCATTCCTTCGACGGGGAATTGGTGTTCATCATGGTGGTTTGCTTCCGATTCTCAAAGAGCTGGTTGAAATTCTCTTTGGTGAGGGTTATCTAAAAGTCCTCTTCGCTACTGAGACCTTTGCAATGGGTCTCAACATGCCCGCTCGAACGGTTCTCTTCACTGCTACTCGCAAATTTGACGGTCAGAGTTTCAGACACTTGTCATCTGGGGAATACATTCAGATGTCTGGTCGTGCTGGACGTCGTGGTAAAGATGATCGGGGTACTGTGATCCTCATGATCGATAACACCGTCTCTCCTGATGCCGCTAAACAGCTGTTATTAGGTGCTCCGGATCCTCTTAATTCAGCATTTACTCTATCTTACAACATGGTGCTCAACTTGCTGTTGGTTGAAGACATTAATCCTCAAATTATGCTGGAAAAGAGTTTCTTCCAGTTCCAGAACTACGCCTCGATTCCAATTCTTGAACAAAGTAAGTCTAATTCCAGTTTAAAATTATTTACATTTTCGCGTTTACTAATAGTCCTGTCTTACGAAGTGTATGTCCTATTCTATTTGTATATATACAAATAATCCAGATTCTATCTTTCTTTATTTCGTTTTAGAGATTGAAAAACTAGATGCAGAATATAAGAACATTGGAATTTCAGAAAATATTAATATTGAGGATCTCTCGAATTTACTTCAACTGCGAAGAGCAATTGACGATTTAGAACGCCAGAAATGGCAACTGTCTATGAAGTATAAATATTCGGGACCCTTCCTTGTACCTGGTCGAATCGTACGAGTTGAAAGTGATTCGGGAGTGGATTTTGGTTTTGCAATTGTACTAAATATCCGCCGATCAAAGAAACGAGATCCTGATAGTGGTAGTGTGCTGTCAGACTCCATTACGGCAGATGTTTTAGTCAGAGTAGCTGTGGAGAACCCTGAGGATTTCACCAACCCCATCATCCTTGATCCTGAACCCCTTGAATTGTCCTCTTTCAAACCTATTGATGAATTTGATATCCAAGTTGCAGAAGACGAAGATGAAGAGGAACGGTCTCCCAAGGTTGAGTCTAAACCCCACAGTTCTTCCAAGAAACGAAAGAGGCCATGGAAGAGCAATGCTAATTCAAAACCCCAACCTGCTAAAAAGTTAAAAACGTCGACTCATGTCGCCATGGCAACTATCGCACGCGTACCTCTAGATTGTCTCCACGACATGTCAACTGTTTGTTTGAATTTCAAAACCATATCTGGTGCTGATCCGAAAAATTCCTCAGCACTGGTTGGTAAAATGGCCAAGTTGCCGCCTCCCTTGAGGTTGAAATTCTGGGAGGGAATTGATAGAGCCAAAGCAAAGTTGAATGGTGAAATCCCTCTTTTGGACCCTATTGCTGATTTGGGCATTAAGAATAATGAGCTAAAGAAGTGTCTTGAAAATATTCATCTGTTGAAAGCTCGTTTTGCTGATAATCCCCTTTCTACAAGAAGCGATATTGATCAGCTTGTTCACAATCATGAAAGGAGGATTGTGGTTAGTCAATGCTCCACTCTTGAACTGCCCTTTTTAATGTCATTGTTGAATTACCCTCTTACTTTTTCTTTTTTAGAAATTCCAGGAGCTTCGAATGGCTCACGAGGAGTTGAATAAGAAGGAATCTCTTTTGCAGCTGGATGAATTACACTCGAGAAAGAGGGTTCTGCGAAGACTGGGTTTTTGTGCTGAAGATGATGTCATTCATCTGAAAGGTCGTATTGCCTGTGAAATATCCTCTGGAGATGAATTAATGCTTACGGAATTGCTTCTTGATGGCTTCTTTAAGTGAGTTTGACTTTCATATTTTTGGAGTCATTTGTGCTAATTCTGGATAAAAATTGTTTCTCTTTATCTGATGACCGGGGTTTTCGTCTAGAAATTTGTTTAGCAATAAAAGCGATGAAAAGACTGTTTCTGTTAATTATTATGCTTTCTTATTTCATTTAACGATTACCCGACTTCGTTTTACACTGGAGTCTTTCTCTTTGCTAACTTTGAAAGATTATCTCTAGGACTTGGGTGAATAGGATACGTCTAAGGAATGGGGGGATATGCCATCAATCTGCTCACGAAATCTGATGGACCCGAGAAACGAACTTCTATAGATGGTGTTTTACTATTAGTTTTAAAAATATCAATGTCTCCAAATGGTTGGGATTGCTCAGAAATGACTTTGCACAATGGCTTCCTTTTTTCGATTCCGTGGTATCTTTTTATTTATTTATAATGGCAAACATTTTGATAATTATCATTAGCCCTTTAGCTGACTTCGGGCTTCACAAAGGTGAGAAACATCGAAGGGGGAAAATTCGAGGGGGAGGGACAGAAGAGTGATTTACAGATGTAAGAAAGACAGACAGACACAAAGGCAGAGAAAAGGTAAGATGAGCACTGTGATAGTTATCATTGGCCCTTTAGCTGACCTCAGACTTCACAGGGGGAAGGAACATCGAAGTAGCAGAAAGTCGGGAGGTGGGGAACAGAAGAGCGATTCACAGATGTAAAAGAGGCACACAGAAACAAGAAAAAAGGTAAGATGAGTACTGTGAGTGGTGAAATATGACAGTGTCGGGTCACAGTAGTTAGAAGTCTGTAGTCAACTGCCGGTTTAATAGGCTTTTCGCCGTATAAGTAAACGTTGCCCTGGGTGCACCACGTGGAGGTAAGTCTATCGC